AGTTTCAGCATCAAAATTACTTCACATCATGCTCTTTTCTTACCTTTCCGTGTTCGTTTCTTGATAGGCACAGAGCTACACAAAGAACTATCTGTGCTCTGTCCACTGAGAGTATATAAACCAATTTATTAGCGTTATAAGCCTTACAAATGTCTTCTTACCTTCTGACTGATACCACATGACCATTATATCATAGTGTAAAAACTCCTTTTCTATAGAACCACCTCACACAAGTAGCTAGCTAGCTCTACGTTTCCCCGATACCTTTAATTCATTATCATTGCTGTTGTATTTATAACATCCGAGGATTTACTTAGTAACTATAAAACATTTAAGTTAAGGATGTGGTGAATTAAAATGTAAACTATTTTGATTCCTAAATGTATTCCAAATGCAGATCATACCTTCTGGACTTTCACGTAGGTGGCGCGACTAAATATTTTTGTTTTCATTTATAGTCTAAGCGATTGTTAATTAAGGTTATTGATATAAATTTCTCTACAAAACAAAAAGCTATTATATGATACAGAAGAACAAATACCTTGTCGATGGTCTGAAATTATAGTTATAAGTTTGCTATATCGTTTCTTTTAGTATCTATAGAATAAAACGAGTCGCAGCCTTTTGTCTGCACTAAATGGAAATTCCAAAAGGCATTATTTATATAGCAACTGTTGGAAAAGATCAGATTAGCTCATTTGGTAAATATTTCTTCATATTTTGTTTCAACTATCTTTATACGCGTTTATCAAGATGTTAAATAATTTAATTTACTAATATCGCAAAATCCATTGTCCATTTGATAATACGTTTTTGGTGCATTTAACAGCACGATTACGAATTATTTCACTAGTTTACACCCCCTCCATGTGAAATTCACTTCAGCAGATTTACTAAATACACAAAAAGACGTGTTTAAAAAAATCTTGCGCGCAGTCACAATAAAGATTTAAGGTTTTAAAAACATTTCGAGCACATTTCTGAAAAGTATGCAATAAGCCAGACAGCAGACTAATTACATGAGATTTCGAACAATAAATCCACGTTTAACAACGTTTTATTTTTGTTATAATTTAAGCCTGACATGGCCTGGTGGTTAGGGTGCTCAACTCGCAATTGGCGAGACACGGGCTTGACTCTATCCATCGAACATGCTTGCCCATTTAGTCGTTGGTGAGTTATAATTTGACAGGAAATCCCGGTGGGGATGTTGAATAGCTAGTTTATCATTTCAAAATTAGGGGCGGCTAGTGCAGGTACTTATCGAGTAAACTTTGCGAGAAATTCAACGAACAAACAAATCCTATAACTTACCGTTACATCTGTAAACCAGATCCGACCAAATAAGAGCTTCCTGGGAGAAACAAAATACTCCGAGACGTCCACCTTTAAGAGTATTGTCAAATACGTTTCCTGAATCGGCTACCATGCTCGCTCCTTCAAAAATACGTAACCTGGAAATTAAAAGCGTTAGTATCTTCAAACTTCTGATGTTGTCATTATTAATGTTTTAGTTCTGTGTTTAGTTGTAGGTTATTTCCTATTTCGGATCTTTTGTGACGCTGTTCATTCTTTTGTTACCAGTAGCAACAGCAGGATTACAAAACATCTCAAGAGGAAAATAATCTGTGCTATTGTTTTATACAACATCTGTTTAGCTCCGGATGTAAATTATATTGTTCAGATATCTCAATAAGGCTAGAATTAAACAAGTAGTGAGTAAAAGTGTATATGTTAG